TTGTTGTCTATAACAATTCCCAAATCTTCTTGTGTGTTGTTATCCCTAATTCACTACTAGTTGCTTGTGCAATTTTTTACCCCAAAGTGCATAACTCTTCATTTTTCTACATTAAATTTCATCTGCCATTTGAGTGTCCAGTTCACCAATCTATCAAACTCCTTCTGCAGCAAAGCAATATCCTACAACACTGTAGTACTTTACAGAGTTTTGTGTCTTCTGCAAACACTGAAATATGACTTTCAATGCCTATTTCAAGATCATTTATAAATATGTTAAATAAAAGCGGTCCCAGAACAGAACCTTGAGGGACACTACTTACCACTTTTGTCCAGCTTAAAAATGTACCATTAATTACAACTCTCTGTACTTAACTTTTAAGCCAATGTTCTACCCAAGAGCAAGCACTTTCACCTGGAAAAAGAAGAGAATGTAACTGGTTACATGACACTCATGTAATCAGTGAACCAGGAGGACATACTAGGAGAGTCCTATGGCCTAACCATATATATATATATATATATATATATATATATATATATATACACATATATATCAAAAACTGTAAAATGCACACTACTAATATAGTGTTGCCTAGTGATAAAAGGGCAAAATAAGTAAATAATCAACCCCTATTAATTAAACAAGAAGTGCAAATCCAGAGTGTATCTATCCATATGCAAGGTGTACTGTTTAGATAAGATCACCAGGTGGAGCCAGTACAAAGGCTTTTTTTTGTCCCAGGCCTAGGAGCCAAGAAAGTTATATTTGATTGAACTGTTTTAAAGGAGCAGGACAGGATATTTAATATATATGTGGTATTATGACTTTTGTGGCTTCTCTCACCTAGTCTACCCATGGATTAATCATTTATTTGAGTATGTTTATTGCCAATTTCTTGTGCATTTCGGACACTTGATGCATTTATATCTTATAGTGTCTAGTTATTAGCTCTCTTTGGATGTATAGCCCTCAACTACTTCTTATGAAACTCACTGTGACACTGGCCATGTGAACATAAAATATAAAACTGGAGCAGACAAAACAATTAAGCATGACTTTAAAACAAGTATTAAATTAGATATAAGTGGGGAGCAAATTGCTCTTTGATGGTGACTCACTCTCAGACTTTAGCATTGATGATGGAGGCATCAACGTTCCTAAGCAATCTGGGACTATCCACCCTAAACCCAGCTCCAATTGGGAGCTCACCAACGAAACCTTGGGATCCATCCACTTTCATCCCCTTTGTCCCACTGCTGTCGAGATCGCAGCTAGCGGCCCCATGACTGCAAGAGCTCAGGCACTCTGCTGCACAAGCATTGGAACTACATGGGCATGCGGACTGGTTAACAGTTTATTTTCTTAAGGCCCAACTAGCTATAGTTACTGTTATTATCTTATATATATATATATATATATATATATATATATATATATATATATATATATATCTTGTATTACTTTATATTTTGGAATGCTCACTGTTTAAGGCCTGATGTCACCACTACAAGGCATATATACACTTAGGTACTAATCTGAGGCGCTTTTCCTTTAAGTGTTATATATTCAGGGTATTATGCCTTTAATTTTCATATATCCAAGGTGTTATACCTTTAATTTTTAATTATAATATGTGCTGCTATCCTCGAACTTCCCCTGTGCTGGAAATTGTTTATATTTAAAAAGTATTTTTGTGTGAGCATACATTCTGTATAAATTACATCTTTAAGGTTAATAGGTTATAATTATAATTTCTTATTTTTCCATACATACACTTGTTATAAGCAGCTGTTCATAGCCCAAATATTACCACTTGGCGCCCTCCTTCTTTACTCCCCCTGCCCTCCACCCCCTTGGTTTGGGGCTCACACGCTGGATGCCTAGGACCTTGACTTAACACCCCCATCGCATACTCTGTTTACAGCCATGTGCCTCCCTTTGGCTTTACAAGCCTAGTATCTAACTATAAAAGCACCCTGTGCATCCTCTTCTTAAGCTTGTTTATATCATGTTTATTAGACCATATATGCTGTCTATTGTCTCATTACACTAATCATAAGCATTTACACTCAAGACGCATATACTCCCTGACACACCAGGGACAAACATTAAACAAATTGTCTTGCTTTGGACATTTCACATATCAAACTCAGCATCCCTCTTGTCCATTGTTTTAACATGCTTTTATTATATACAAAAATGGTGCATTATCTTTGACAAATATGCTATGCTTGTATCTGCTTTTATGTAGCTCTATTTTGCTTCATGTTATCTACCTAAAATGCTAAGCACATAAAAAATAAAGAATTAAAAAAAAAAGGGGGGAACAGGCTGCGCCAAATATGAATGTTGACTAAACAAATGTATAAACATAATATATCAATGTAAAATAGCATAAATAAGAATATGGTATAAAAGTCCCGAAGAGAAAGTTCTTATGGTACTGATATAAAACCTGCTAGAAATAGTATTCTTGGAGGTCAATCTGTTCTCCTTGCTGAGTAAATAATCAGGTCTTTTTCGTAAAGTTGTTCCATATGAAATAGAAACACAAAAAAGACACCAATCGTGTAACGCAATATACACAGTATCCTAGGTGATGTAATGATAAAGGTACACTCACAAAGAGAGAGCCTCCAATCAGCTCTTAAATAAGACTCTGAGCGGAATAATCCCAGCTCTCGGGTAAAACTGGAGACGTCCCTTTGGGTATTCACAATACAGTTGGCATATGAAATAAATGGAATAAAAAATAGTGCTCTCTGCTTTGAATAGTGGAACTAGAAAAAAATTTGAAATGAAATCTACTCACATTTTTGGGAGCATCATATGCTCCGTGAAATCAGCATGGGTGGTATGATTCCCACTAAGGATATATGTAGGCAGATTTGGAGGAAAGTACCAGTGCTTGGAGAGGTTCCCCTGGAGGTATTAGATATATGCAGAATCAAGATAAAATAAAATGTTAAAAAAATATATATTTTTTTGAATGGTAAAAACAATATTTATTGTGATATACCACACAAAATAAGTAAAATCAGATAAAAAGTCCTTGTATTCAATCACAACATGTTTCACCCATAGGCTTTTCAAGTGATCATGAGCATTCATTCTGTTCCTTTTTAAAAATCTGTCTTGTCCTCTCATTTTGGGTCATTAGGGTATCCATACTACAGACTTGCTGCCTTTAGAGCTAACGCTGTGTGTTGTGACTATATATATATATATATATATATATATATATATATATATATATATATTTGTGTTCGGTGCTATTCTTGTAACGTATGTATAGTATGGTGTAACCATAGGTATGAACAAGTCGGTTGAAGTGTGCCGAAACCGACGTATGCGGTAGGCCTGTAATAAAGAGGGCCCACCCTAGATATAAAATAATAAATTAAATTGAGTTGAGGGAGTGGTGGGTGGGGCCTGCCGAAGTCAAAACTCCACGGTGATGCAGAAAAAAGGGGGTGAGTTTAAATAGGATCACCACGCCCCTCCCACAACTCCAGGCAAGCCTTTACATTTGTGTTAGGTGCTATTCTTGTAACGTAACGTATGTATAGTATGGTGTAACCATAGGTATGAACAAGTCGGTTGAAGTGTGCCGAAACCGACGTATGCGGTAGGCCTGTAATAAAGAGGGTCCACCCTAGATATAAAATAATAAATTAAATTGAGTTGAGGGAGTGGTGGGTGGGGCCTGCCGAAGTCAAAACTCCACGGTGATGCAGAAAAAGGGGGGTGAGTTTAAATAGGATCACCACGCCCCTCCCACAACTCCAGGCAAGCCTTTACATTTGTGTTTGGTGCTATTCTTGTAACGTAACGTATGTATAGTATGGTGTAACCATAGGTATGAACAAGTCGGTTGAAGTATGCCAAAACTGACGTATGCGGTAGGCCTGTAATAAAGAGGGCAAAAATAAGCAGTGTCTTTGCCAAAGAAAATATTTATTACATAGAAAAACATAGTGCAAAGAAAATAGCTCAAGATGACAGTTTAACAAATGCTGCCCTAATTTCTAACACCAGTTGAGGTATATACAAAGCAAATTCTGAGGACTTCCAGCGGCCCAAAGACTTGATTACATGTACTGGAATATTTTGGCTGGAGGCTGTGGAGGCTGCCCCTATCCGAAAGGAATGACCAGAAAAGTTGCCAGGGTTCAGACCTAGTCTGGTCAGTAACATGCGGACGTATTGCATGAATTTGGCTGTTGTTAAGACCTCTTTGTGTAAGACTAGCAGCGGGATGTCAGACTGCGGTGGTAATGATTGGAGGTATGTATCCAATACTTTCACTGGGCACCATTTGTTTGCAGTAGGATAATATGTGACCGGTACTATCTTGCCCAGCTGGCTTGTTTTAGTGATCATGTAGTTTGGTGAGATGGGACCGTTTGAGGCAGTTTTGTGCGTATTTGTTTCCGTGTATGGTAAACTCGCCAGGTCTTAGAAAACCATAATATGCCAAGTAGATGGCTGTTTTGATTACCATGTTTGTATAGTGTTCAAATGGGGCCGTGTCCAACAAGTCGGACATATCCTTAAATAGCTGCTTATGTACTGGTAATCTTGTTGATGGAGGAGTGGTACTGGACTTCTGTACGCCTTTAAGAATGTTTTTAATGGGGTAAGAAGATAAGAAACTAGAGTTATCTGGGTATAAGGTATACATGTGGTGTTGTATGCCGGTTAAATATAATTGATGGTGTTGTGTGACAGTTTGAGTTTTAGATGACAAAACGAAACAAAAGCTACCAGTGTGGAAATGGCAAAAAACTGCACCAAGTTGTGTTCTATCATAAACCTCTTGTATAGTTTGAAGGCCCTATCATAAGACCGTTTAGTATTGTCGGACAAGGCAAGCCTATGCCTTGCCAATTCTTTCAGTCCATCACCAGCTCCTGAAAACGTGGTGCTGCAGTGGCTGTAGGGGAGGCCGTGGCTAATGTCTCTCTGAATTCCTGGAATTCAAAGCGAGACAATTTGTCAGCTGCAGTATTAAAGACCCCTGGTACATGAGAACACACCAAATAAAAGTGATTGCAGGCCGCCAGCCAGGTCAGTCTTCTCATGAATCTCATGATCGTTAGAGACTCCGAACGGCCTTTGTTTATGATGTGGCAGGTAGCTTGGTTGTTGGAAAAACAGCGTACCGAGCTACCTGCCCACGACTGACCCCACACCACAGCTGCCGCAACAATGGGGTATATCTCAAATAAGGCCGAAGTGCGTGAGAAGCCTTCAATGTGCTGGACCTCCTCTTGCCAAGCATCCCAAAGCCACTCATTTCCAAATATGGCAGAAAAACCCGTTGATGCTGCCGTATCTGTCCAAATGACCGGAGAGTGGGCAGACAATAAAGGCAAGAATATGCTTCTGCCATTCCACTGCAACAAGAATTTGCGCCACATTAGCAAATCAGCTGTAGCCTGTGCCTCCAAGCTGATACGAGTAACGTCATTTGGTATGAGAGGGAGGAGGCAAAGGAGTCTAGAAATAAAGGCCCTGCCTTGCGGGATAATTCGTATATCAAAATTCAACGATCCCAACAAAGATTGCAATTCCTTCCTATTACATGTCCTATTGACCAAAAATTTGTTAATGGATTGTAGTATGCTGTCAATTTTACCTGGAGGTAGGCTCGCTTCCATGTTTATTGAATCAAGCAGGATACCTAGGAAATTTACTAACTCGTCAGGGCCTTCTGTTTTCGTGGGGGACACTGGCATCCCCAAAGAATGAAAAAATGATATGGCCTTTGTCAGATCACTGGGGGAAGAGGAATTATTCTCCACGAACAGAAAGTCGTCCAGATAATGTATAACGGCCTAGCATCTGCAATTGTTTAACAGCGGCCAACATAAGGTTTCGGAAAAGATGTCAAATATTTTTGGGCTGCTTTTTGACCCGAACGTGAGTCTTGTGAAAAAATAATAGACACCTTTCCATTTTAAACCATGCAGATGCCATAGTGACGGGCGAATGGGTAGTAACTTAAACGCATTGACGATGTCAGTTTTATTGAGCCAAGCCCCTATGCCAGCTGTGATGATAGTGTGTATAGCGCTGTCTATAGTGGTGTACTGGAGTGAAAATTCCTGGGATGGAATTAGGGAATTAAGGCTTGGTATGGCCAAGGAGTGAGATGCTGATATGTCTAAAATAAGTCTGTGTTTCCTTGATGATTTCCCAGTGACTAATCCTATGGGGTTGGTTAGCCAATTGGAAAATGGGGGCTCGCGAAAAGGTCCCAATAAGAACCCATCCTCAAATTCTTTGTGTAATAGAGCATCGATCATTTCCACGTTTGCAAATGCTGACTGTAAATTGTTGCATTCATAAATGCCAGCGGGGGTATGAACCAACCCTGTATGGAATCCCTCCGTGAAACCATCTATCAAAAAGTCCACTAGGTGTTTGGATGGGTGGGAGGCTAATGCGTGCGCCAAAGAACCAATCTTTACGGATGTCAAGTATGGTTTAGTATGACCATTTTATTGGGACACATAGACTTGGCCTGTGTCCTAAAACAACGTGAACACACATGTAACAACCTGCAGGCACTATAACCACAGGTACCTACGTTGAAGTTATTACAAACCTGAGACTTTCCCAGGTAAACAATAGGGCAACCAAGTTTGTCCTTGCCAGGTCTGTCCAACCTGGTCTGTGGTTCACGGAAAGTCCCAGGTGTGGACTCTGGCATAGTGGGACAAAAGTCCGAGGAATGTGATGTTGAAGCACAAACAGCACAAGCTGGTGTCTTGAAACCGGCAAAATGTCTACAAAATAGCTCAGTATCCATGCGGCTCCAGTCATTTTTGATGTTATACTGAGCCAATATTGCAGACGCTCTTGCCGAAAAGGATTGGTGATAGTCATAAAAGGATGACCCACCATATTTGCTTCCCAAGTCCACCAGCTTGTGTATGTAGAGGTCGAGTTCCTCTCGTCTATGCGGATAAACAGAACAAATTACATCACGATATATACCAAAAGCCAAGACAAAATCAGTTATGGACAGTTTCTGGGATTGCTGCGTTTCCGGAGTTCTGCAGTAATGCGAGGGATGGTCCATGACCTTATTGAAGTTAGACTCCCAACATTGCCTTTACGAGCAGGTGACAAGGATCTGGCCGGAGAACTGGGTAGAGACAAATTGTCTGTGTCATCCGGTAGATGTGACATACTAAAAGGAAATAATCAAACCATCAGTCATGGCGAAACAATTTCCTAGGTGTGGTGACAGGTGAGGCCCTGCTAGTTGCCAAGTGGCTTGAGAGGCTGTATCTATCGATTGGCGCGAGGGTATTGTTGCCACCGAAACGTTGTGGCGGGGTGTTGGCCTCTCGATGACGACTAAAACGCATAATATAGAATGGGAGTGACAAGTGAGGCCCTCTCTATGCAACCGTGTGAGGCGGCTAACTATGATTTGGCCCGAGGGGCAAATGTCCTCAAGCGTGGAGGAAATGGGTTGGCCTCGCGGGACCACTACTACTAAGGCCAAGTAGCCTGGATAATTTACTAGTGGCCACCTATCCAAAATAAGCCAGTAACACTAAATCATAAGCTCTAAGGGGGGAGGGGTGGGGGGTGTTTAGGCAAAACGTACCTGTTAGATCAAAAAATTAGGTCACAACCAAACAGAGAACCTGAGACTTCCACCACTAATCTAATGGAAGCAAGGTTTATACCTAGTGATAGTAGAGAGGAGTATATGTTATACATAGTAATAAACGTACTTCCCTTTTAATGCTGAGAGTACCCCTTACTTAACACGTTACTTACTGGACAATGTTAAATAAATATTTGATAGTAATGAACGTAGTTGATTTGAGTCAACTTGAACCTGAAAAGTAAGCATAGAGAAATAAGTAATGTGATCTCTGATACTAGCTTTTGTAGATTAATGCACGTAAAGCATGTGAACACATTGTAAATCCACAGCAACACGCACCACCATAATATGTAAGCGTAGCGCGTATCTTAGAATATGCCCTACAGTCAAGTAGTAAAGTGGCATGAAATACCGCCGCATGTCGAACCACTGGTGCCATGGTAGTATATAACACCATAGTATGCAACAAGTCATATAGTATCATGGCATACCGTAGCATGTAACGCAATAGAATGTAACACCATGTAACACCATTTGAACCATAGTGGTAAGCTCTGTAGTATGTAATAACGTAGAGCAGCCTAGTAGTGTGTTACATAGCAGTATGTACTACTGTAGTGCCGTACGTAGAATGTAATGAGCTATACGGTAGTATGCAGCAAGTCTGTAATAAAAGTATACAGTAGTATGTGATAAGTATAGTATGTAGCCAGCAGTATGTAATAAAAGTATGCCTTAGAATGCGGCCCAGTTAATATGTGATAAGTATGTAGTAGCATGCAGCAAGGTAGCATGAAATAAGTATACGTTAGTATGCAGCTTAATTAGTATATCATAAGTATATAGTAGTATGCAGCAAGTAGCATGAAAATAAAGTATACATCATTATGCAGCTCAGTTAGTATGTGCTAAGTATACAGTAGTATGCAGTGAGTAGTATGACATAAAGTATACATTAGTATGCAGTTTAGTTAGTATATGCTAAGTATAAAATAGTATGCCGTAAGTAGTATGTCATAACAGTATACATTATGCAGCCCAGTAGTTGTAATGTGGTATGTGATACAGTATTTACAGTTTAAACTAACTTCCCCAGCAGCATGTAAGCTTCGTTTTAGTAGTGTACTAAGTAAGCTGAAAACGAAACCTGTCAGCAGTGTGGAGACCTGTGTGGTCTCTGGCTGCTGTGTCCGTGCGTTTTACTGCCAGCCCCCCACCCTATGGACCATCCGGCATGTGGCAGATGGTGACGGGACCGGAATATGCAAGACTCACAATTTTAGTGCCCCACGAGCGTGTGGGAAAAACAGCAGCTGTTAGCCGATCTGAACTCACAGACCGCGAACCGGAAGTGATCGTAACCCGGAAGTCCGAGACCGGAAGTGATGCCTGCCGAAGTCAAAACTCCACGGTGATGCAGAAAAAGGGGGGTGAATTTTAATAGGATCATCACGCCCCTCCCACAACTCCAGGCAAGCCTTTACATATATATATATATATTTGTGCTCAAATTTAATACGTAATGGATAGTATCTGAAAGGGCAAAGTTGGATGTGGTGTGTGGAAACCAACGTACGAGTGGGCCTGTAAATAAAAGAGGGCCCACCAAGGAGAATGTTATGATAACAGGGTGTAGGTGGGTGGGGACAGTCAGCTGGAGCGGCAGAGGTGAGTGGGGGCTGGGAGTTTAAGTGGGGGACTTACTCCTCCCACAAATTCAGGCCTAACGGCCTTTCTACTTGTGCTCGGAATTTAATACATATGGATAGTATCTGAAAGGGCAAAGTTGGTTGTGGTGTGCCGAAACCAACGTACGAGTGGGCCTGTAAATAAAAGAGGGCAAAAGAGAAAATACACACTTTGTAGCCTTTTTTTACATAACCAAGTTCCTGAAAGCTTGACGAAGCTCTTTTTCTGGTTGTGGTATACATGTATGGAATATGGAGGATTTCCAATGACCCAGTCTCTTGATGGAACTATGGATAGTTTTTTGTTGAGCCTGGGGTCTCTAGTCTTAAGCACCAGTGAGATGTCCCCGTAATTGTATGCCCTGTTCTCCAGTATGTCTTGGGATGCTATAAGCAGAGACACCAGACACACGTCCTTCCCGTCTAGGATTTCTTTCCTGATAGAGTCTGGGATGGAGTGAGCTGGTGACTGGTGCTGGAGAGGGGAATATGGGGGGGCATGGTGGTACAGCGGGGACTGCCGGGGTGGAGACTGGGAGGCGCGGGGTATTACCTGGGGAGGCGATGGTGCTCTCCACCTTAGATAGCCTGTTATTCAAAGTCTGCAAGTTGGCCAAGATTGCTGGGTGGCTGTGCCAGCGCTTGGTGGCTTTCCTTGAGAGCTAGTGCCTGGCCTAGGCTCAGGGGCTTGGTAGGTGAGCAGTTTGTAGAGTTCTGCCTTTCGAGCCTAAGTTCGGCCGTAATTTTAGGAATAGTCCATGCTCTCAAGGACGTGGGAGTTGAGGGGGTGAGAGATTCGCATGGAGACTCTGGTCTGATGGGCGTAAATGGGATCTCTTCGATGGGGGCTGGTTCTTGAGACATTGTAAAAATGATTTAGTGAATGAGATATT